TGTTACTCACTAAAAATTACCGAAAAAAATTGAGTTTAGATTCTGTAATTTGTTTTTCTCACTGAAAATTTTATGTTTTTCCAAGTGTGACGGTGGGCGTACTAGACAAAAAATTACATACCAATTTAATAGAAAGTATTTATTTATTTTTTTGAATTACATGAAAAACAAAAAATATAAGAAAAAATTGGAAAAAGAACATTATTCACGGATAATATGATCAAGTATTATCATGGTACACACATTGCCGGAGTAGACACAAAACTGCTCAATCTGGGTTGCACAGAAATCACACTTTTTCGTTTTCCTCCAAGAACTGATTTCAATGTCTCCCGATACTGACTAGACATAAAAATATAAGATATCGGGTGTAATATTGAATTCAACGTTGCCACAATAACAAAATAAACATTGAGGTCCGAGGAAAGTCGACTGAAATTCTTTTTGAAGAAACTTATATTTTCTGTTACAAACATGGGAGCTGTGAAAGAGAAACACAGGTGGCCTTGGTCGAAATTCCCACAACGACAACTATCGTAATTTCAAGAATTCCAGAGTTTGCACTCTAATTGTTCCAAAATTCCTAAAGTTCTCTCAATTTTCTGAACTTACATCAAAACATTTTGCACATTTTCAATTGACTCTTCGTAACTGCTTTTTTCCATTTTCAATAGGAAAATAATCAAAATTTGTTGACAGCGGATCCTCAGTCAGTCGAGACCGATCCTACGTCCTAACCAGAGAGTGTCAGCAACCTGAAATGACCCCCAATTCCCCCCAAATGTGTAAGATAAGCGGTGCAAAGGAAATAACAGTACACAAAGTATTCAAATCCAAGTTTATTAACGGAAAGGGATTTGAATAAACGGCAAAGACAACGGAATTGGGAAAAGAAAGCAAGAACAGAAAAGAAGTAAAGGTGTAGGGCTAAAACCTCCTGGGAGCTACCGGAGGAAACCTTGCTGCCTTCTAAAACTGGTGCTAACAAACCAAAACGATGCCAAACGTAGAAAACTAGCTGAAAGGCTAAAAAAGGTTAAACGGGACCGCATAGCGGTCAGCTCTTGGTAAGATACGAACACTCGCTTCGCCGCAGCGAAGACTGAGTAACGACGGGCGGCGGACGCCAGTGCCGAGTGGCGCGGCGCGGTCGCTGCAACGCGGTCGTTGGCGCGTATTCAAATAATATTAATATTATTTGAGTGAAACAATGTACTTGTAATTAGAGAACGAAGAGAGATAAGAAGGGGAATGAACATGACCCGAATAAAGCGGATAATCCAGAGGGATTTTATGGGGAAAATCGGGAGACTCTGGGTTATC